GTTCATGTGCATTATACTTCTACATTGGTAGTATGAAATTACATTCTGCTTCAGGAGCATTGTACTTCCTTTTCTAAAGATGCCAAACAACGTGAGATGAATGGTTATACTTTTTTATTGCACAGAAATCATATATTTGACTGTCCTTACAGTTGTAACCTTTATCATTATGCAGGGTCATGGTTTCCGAAACGATCTAGTCCAAATGATGGCTGATTTAGAACCCCGATTTATTAGATTTCCAGGTAATCATCGTGTTTCATCTTTCCCTGCCTCTCTCAAATCTTGTCAGGTTGTGTTTAATGTTTGAATTATAAGAACTTATTGCTACAAATTTGAAAGTTCTTCGTCGTGCGGTGTTTCTTTGTTGGTCGTGGCAACTGATAGGCAATCGTTTTTTTCTTAATCATATAAATGAAGGTGGATGCTTTGTGGAAGGGGAGTGGTTAAGAAATGCATTTCGTTGGAAAGAAACCGTTGGACCATGGGAACAGAGACCTGGACACTTTGGTGATGTTTGGATGTACTGGACTGATGATGGACTTGGCTATTTTGAGTTTCTCCAAGTGAGTGTTGTATTTATTTTTCATGGAGTGAGAATATTTATATCTTTTTAGGCCTTGAAAAACTCGAGCAAGGATCTTGTGTCTGGCTCTAATACCATTTGTAACAGTCCAAACTCGCTGCTAGCAGATATTGCACTCTTTGGGCTTTCCCTTCTAGGCTTCCCCTCAAGGTTTTAAAACACGTCTGTTAGGGAGAAGTTTCCACACCCTTATAAGGAATGCTTCGTTCCTCTCTCCAACCGACGTGGGATCTCACGATTTATGTCAGTTCAAAAAAGAGAGATGGTTTGTGCTGACATTGAGTAGTGTGTCACTTAGCTATTGAGGAGTGGTACAAGCTTAATGTATTAATGGACGTCATCAAAGTTGAATATCATCAGGTTGCTAGATATATTCATTGATTGAAGAAAGAAATTCAAGATCAAATTGATCTTGAACCTCTCGGTGGAATCATCAAAGTCATTACCATGTAACAAAGAATTTAGAAACATTAGGAGTTAGTGAAGGGATGGGACGCACGGTCAGGTTCGTCAAAAAATTGCTGCATTTCCTGAAAAACTAGAAAGAAATCGAGATGGGAGGAACAGTAAAATAAGAAATGTATCACAGATTGATACCAAATCATTAAGAGAGCCCCCACAGAAGAGTTGCTACTTAACTTTATCTCATAATTGATATTACTTGCATGTTATGATTGATACTCTTCAAGTTTGGTTGTATATTACATTATTTATTGAGCTTTCCTTTGCAGCTAGCAGAAGATCTTGGTGCTGCGCCAGTTTGGGTGTTCAATAATGGTAATCCATGATGGTTATCTTCCTTTCCTTCTTTCTCCTTTTATTCATTTATTTTCTTCTGCTCAATATATAAGTTTATTTTCTAAGGAATCAGCCACCAAGATGAGGTAGATACTTCCGCTATCTCACCGTTTGTGCAGGTACTTCTACTCCCTCCTGTATGGATAATAGTTTTATGTTGCCTGCAATTATATAGTTGCAAGTTTTAACCAATAAAGATCTCGAAACGAGGTCGAGAGAACAAGCTAGTAAGCTCATCGAGGGTTAGTGACTTAAGATACCTAGTTGTGTCACCTCTTTTTGATGTGCATATGCATTATCTTGTGTTTTTCGAGTACTGTCCTGAACTGCTATCAGGCCGATAAATCGGTTTTTGTTACTTTGACTAGGAAATATGCTTCATAATGATCTTCGTGGTATTTCTCGTCGATAAATTTGAAATATTGAAATGACTGGCAGTGTGTATCTTGTGAAATCTGTAAATCTTAGCCATACTAATAAATGGCTAGTATCTTGATTTTGTCAAGTCGGTATTCATCTAATCACGATGTAATGATTTTAGGAAGTGCTCGACAGTATCGAGTTTGCGAGAGGAGATCCTAACACTACTTGGGGTTCCATTCGGGCTTCGATGGGACATCCAGAACCTTTTGACTTGAAGTATGTTGCCATTGGAAATGAGGACTGTGGCAAAAAGAACTACAGAGGTTTCTCAATCTTTTAAGAGTATTTGCTTCATGTTTCCATATGGTTCTGAACTTCTAGCATTATTTATCCAAGCATCGACCTTTATTGATTAACAGGCTTGATTCAGATTCTGTAATTTAAAATGTGTTTTTGTAAAATTCAGTCCCTTTTTTGAGTTAATCTGCCCTTCTAGCAATAAGTATAGCATTGCAGAGATCCCTAGCAGACGTATTTTAAAACCGTGAGGTTGACGGTAATATGTAACGGACCAAAGCAGACAATATCTGTTAGCGGTAGGCTTGGGCTATTAGAAATGACACCAGCTAGGATGCCAGGCGGACATGAGACAGTGTGTCAGCTAGGATGCTAGGCTTCGAAGGGGGTGGATTGGGGAGTCTCACATCGATTGGAGAAGGGAACGAAACATTCTTTATAAGAGTGTGGAAACCTCTCCCTAGTAGACGCGTTTTAAAACCGTTAGGCTGATGACAAGTGATGTTTGTCAAAATGTTGTAGATTTTCCTCTGCTCTTTCTCTGTATGTTTTCTTGAATAACTTTTATTTGGGCAGGAAATTACGTCAAGATCTACAACGCGATGAAACGTGCCTATCCCGACATTAAAATAATTTCGAACTGTGACGGGTCTTCTAGGAAGTTGGATCACCCAGCTGATTACTATGACTTTCATGTAAGTTTTCTTAAGCATCGCCTTTTCATTTTCTGCAAATGGAATAATGTTTTTCTTAGTTTCATACTAATTTCTCCCTATATCAGATATATACCTCCGCCAACCAAATGTTTTCAATGGCTCATAGGTTTGATAAAACATCACGCACTGGTCCAAAGGTCTCTACTTCCTCCATTCTATTCCTCTCTTCCTTTTGGCTCTAAATATAGAATCGAATACGAATCAACTTCTGCAATTACTCTGCAGGCTTTTGTGAGCGAGTATGCTGTGACGGGATCAGATGCTGGCAAAGGCAGTCTTCTTGCAGCCCTCGCCGAAGCTGCATTTCTCATCGGCCTTGAGAAGAACAGGTATTGGTTTGTAATACTAAAAACAATGCTGACATAAATGGTGAGATTCTACATTAGTTGGGGAAGGGAACGAAACATTCTTTATAAGAGTGTGGAAACCTCTCCCTAGCAGACGCGTTTTAAAAACTTTGAGGGGAAGCCCGAAAGGACAATATCGTGAATTATTAGCTACTTATTTTCATGTTTTGTTGCAGTGATATTGTTGAAATGGCAAGCTATGCACCACTTTTCGTGAATACTAATGACAGAAGGTATCTTTGTCTGTTGCCTCATCAGCTCTGTCATGTCTTACAATGATTGATTGATAAACTAAAATGGAAAGCTTTGTGTTTCATAAAGGTGGAATCCAGATGCTATTGTCTTCAACTCATCCCACTTGTACGGAACGCCTAGCTATTGGATGCAACGTTTTTTTGTAGGCTCAAGTGGAGCAACTCTTCTTGATACTACACTGGATGCTAATTCTGCTTCTTCTTCCCTAATTGCATCTTCCATTATATGGAAAAATCCCGAAGACGAACACAACTATCTTCGAATAAAGGTATACATGTATTTCTGTATATGTGAGATCTTACATCGGTTGGAGATGGGAACGAAACATTTCTTATAAGGATGTGGTAACCTCTCCCTATATATGGGTTTTACAGCGGTGAAACTGACATCGATACATAACTAGTTAAAATGGACAATATCTACTAGCGGTGAGACTGACATCGATACGTAACACGTTTTTTTGCAGATTGTTAACTTTGGAAGCAACGAAGTGAGTCTCAAGATATCTGTAAATCATTTGAATGCATTCTCCATTCAGAAATCCGGGTCATCTCAAACTGTACTTACATCTCGGAATTTGATGGATGAGAATTCCTTGAATGACCCAATGAAGGTAATCCAAGCACCCTCTTGATCTTGAAATTTATTTCTAGACATGTAAAGAAGAAACGGTACTAAATTGTCAAAAAACACTTCGATACACGTGAGCTGCAACATGCAAGAGACCTTCGACTCCACGATAAGAAACTGACTTACACTCCGAAGTTACAAATCTGATTGCTAGCTAACTATATTCTTAGGTGATACTCTTTTCACCTCGGGTTTTAACCTTTGACGTTTCACGATGGCAGGTGATTCCGATCAAAATTCCGCTCAACACAGCTGGAGAAAACATGGACGTTGTACTTCCCTCTCATTCTCTAACTTCACTTGACTTGTTCATGGAATTTAGCAGTATAAGGATGCCTGGAAGCTATCAATCATCAACATCTGCTATCTGAAGTTGTATATGAAGCTAATAAGCAAAACGGTGAATGCATGCATACACGTCCGGTAATCTTTCAACATTGAACAGGTTGAAAGATCTAAGTTATTTTCCTTGCAGTTTGGCTCCAAAGTGAAATAAGCATATAGTATATGCTTCCATTGTATAGGCCTTGGGGGAGGGCCCGTTGGCATCTGATTCGATATCAACTGCCCCATTCTTGTAAATTTACATACTCCCCAACACCATGCTAGTATGCCACGATTACGAACTCAATAGAACCTCTACAATCATTATACCTCATGTTCTTTACATCAATGATTAGGAACTCATAATTAAGAGCGAGCCTAATCCAATCTATGATCTTTTAGTCAAAGTTCGCCGAGTAGGTATAGCTACAACACTCCTTCAATGATTATCTTATGAGAATTATTTCACAGAACAAGACAATATCCAAAACGGCACCAAAAAGATAATGGTTGATCTTGATCTTGTTCTTGTGTAGAGCCATTGTTATTTTATCCTATCTTAGCTTGCTGTAACGATTTGATGTGACAACAACTATCCACCATACCCTTCTGCATCATCCCTATCTCAACTTATATTTTATGAACGCATTTTTGTTCAATGATTAAAACAGGGTTGGGATTCAGTGACACAGAAGAAGATTTCACATATAGCAGATTAAATTAGAGGCACAACACCATTTCCTATCAATTTACATACATATAACCAAAGCCCACCTGTTAAAAGTAAAGATTAAATTCTGTTCACAGATGAGGTTGAAATCAGCTAAAATTCTATTCTCTACCCTCCCTGTTTCTAAAAAGCATTAGTTGGCAGAGATCAGCAAGCATCTAACCTGAAATCGAAAATGCCGAACTTACATACTCTCAGCTGGGGTTCGTCTGCTCCTCTCGATGGTCAAACCAGTGTATCGCCCCGACAGATACTAGATTTGCAGAGTGGACAGGTTGCGTTTATCCGAAGCCATTTGCCGATGCACCCACAATGAAAATGGTGGTTGCAGGGAAGAGTATAGAGCTCCGTCCTGTCTTCATATTGCGAAAGGCAAATGCAACATTCCTATAAAGAAGTAAATCTTCATATACTCAGCTTCAAAGAAATTAAAAGATGAACATCACAGTAAGTGATGAGCAAAACTAAAAGCTGTCGTAGAATCACTAACTATTGTGATATTGCTATCCTATTCTGCTTGTGCGAAGGACCGTATAACAATACGTACTTGTTTCTATAAGCAAGAACAGTCGATCGTGTTTAAGCAGGTCATGAAATTGAGTTATTAAAACAAGACCAAGAGTCCTAATTATTCAACCCAGATTGACTCTTTTTATAAAATTCATAGATCTTTCAAGGCTCAAGAATTCAAATTCTACACTTATCAATCTAGAGCAGAAGCAAAATACTATAAAATTGATAGTTTGACATAAAAAGATAAGCAGCTGACCGAATCCTCTGGATGAAGAGCAAGTTCTTTGATAAGGTGATCGTTATCTAACTCCGTTGTTGCTCCAATTGGTTCCCGTTCTTTTCCATGGATAAACGCCCCGAGCGCAGCCTGACGAAATGTGTACTTGGGAAGAGCCCTGATAACCTCTTCTGAGGCACCTTCTCTGGCAGTCATGGCATATGCAAATGCTATAATAGGAATGCAGCAACAAAGGGAGAAGAAAACAACACATGCCATCCCAACACAAAAGAGAATAAAGAACAAGTCAAACGCTAGAAACACGACGGTTAACCTGCAATTAACACGACAAATATTCAGCACCGAAGCTCCAAATCAGATTAATTGGTTCCATACAACTACAAATCAAAGCTAGATTACTCGGGGTGAATGCAATTAAAGCTACAATTTCAAACCAACGATCTCTAAGAAACTAAAAGACATTTGATGACAACGCTTCATGGATTTAGCAAACCTTTAATCATCTTAGTTTCATAATTGTTCGAGATCCAACACTCGTCAGCTTAGTTCGATATGCAAATATTACTAGAACCCCTAATCTAAAAAATATCATAACTTAAAGCTCCAGAAGTCCAGATTGAACAGTGTGAAAATGCTAGATTTATTCAAAGCCCACCTAGAGGTTGCATTTGCAACAACTTTCAACAAGTAACGAAAATTTTCATTGAATAAATGACGAGACTAATGCAAAAGGGATACGAGCTCCGAAAACGAGCAAAAAGAAGAACAGAACATCGGAAAAAAAATACATAGGAAGTTGCAGTTTTGTGTATGAAACTATTTCTCCAAAAGGAAACATGTCAAAAGGCAAAGTTCTTACCAGTAAAGCCGGGGAGAATCCTGTAAAAGTGTATGGCCACCCATGACAATCCAATAGAATCCAAAGACCCACCAAACCGACGAGGTCATTGTATTCATCGACTCCAACCTTTTCATTATGCTACAAGGACAAAGATCAAAACAAATTAGTCCAAAGCTTGTGTTGCTGCAGCTCATAGATCTGTATACTTTTGTGTTCATCAAATAAGTTCGAGACTAAATGTGAGAAAATGATATGAAGTTATTGCTGGTTCGTTGAATGAAACATGAAAAAGAAAACAAATAAGCTCAAAACCCATGAATTCACTGTGGCTTATATGTTTGAATTTGCCAAATGTTGAGCAGATTTGGCTTTTCAAACATATTGAAGAACAGATTGAATTCCAACATTATTATTTATTCGAAGGTTGAAATCAAACACCAAGAGAACCCTACAGGAGGCGATCAAAAGGACATAAGCGCACATATTGCTTAGATTACTGCATTGGAAGGGGAAATCTCAAAATTGCGCATATGATTCAATCAATGAATGCATTAGATATAATTCATACAATGTGTTCACTGTTCTTCCTACCTGCGATGATACGCACGGTCCTCAAAGCCGTGGAGCGCCATGCTCCGCTGATACTCAAAGAAGACAAACCCAACATGCAGGAGACATTGCAAGCCATATCCAGAAATCCAAAGGCGCAAAGGCGTGGAAGGGCGTTCTCGAAACGTGGACAAGAGGACAACAATGGAGACAAGAACAAAGGCCAAATTCCAAACGACGTCGAGAACTAAAATGGGCATAGAGTAGAAGCAATTTTCCCTAACAATGGAGCGGCGATTGAAATCGTTAGCGTCGTCGTGGTCTTCCGTGTCGGATCGGGAGTCGGCGCAATCAGCCAATAGGGGGCGGTGGCGGCCGGAGGTAATCAAACGGGTAGTGTAGCGAGTTAAAGGGATTGTAAAAGTGGTACTGACAGTGGGATAGCGAAGAACAGAATCATTGAGAGTGCCGCCATTGGCAGTGCGTCTCAGTGCTCGTTCTTCTTCCATTATGGGTATGGCTTCCACTTGAGAGAGAGAGAGAGAGAGAGAATGGGTGCGGTGGCTGCTGAGAGTAGTTGGGTTGGGGGGCTGAGGCAGGTCGCAGCCGGTGCTTTTTGGTGGTGCTATGGCTCCGTCGCGGCGTGGGGGGAGATTCAAACGACGTCGTATAATATCTCAATCGTTCTAGACAGGGTGTTGTACGATGATGGATAATGTCCAAGCAACGATGTAATGTCGACCTAAGAAAAAATAAATAAATAAATAATAATAATAAATTACAAATTTAATTTAAAATTTATTTGGTCTCCAAATGATCCAACAAATTTATGAACTTCCCATTTCTACAACAAATTTTTAAATTTTAAAAAGTTCATAATACCCGAAATTAAAAACTTTAAGAAATTATTTTAGGTTCAACAATTTAAAAATTGACAAATAAATTAAAATTTTAATACTCTGCATTCTTTAGGTGGATCGCAACTTACCTTATTAAAAAATGATACAGTAGGTCAAAACCTATATTTAATTTTTTTTTAAATAGAGAAGTTAATTACGCTTAAAAATTAAAATAAAATAAAAGATTATAGAATAATGTATAATTTTCACATTTAACCAATTAAGAATAATTAAGAATTGTGTTTGTGACAACAAATTAATGAGCCATGTCAATGTGTTGGAAGGTACAACTTAATAATAGAGCCCATTCAATTAATATTTCAACGCTTCCATTTTCTTTTTCCTTTTTCTTTTTCCTTGGAATATATTTATATTTCTATAAATGAGAAACAAAAGGCTATGCTTGTAGAGGTTGAAAGTTCATTTTCATTTATGTCAAAATATATATATATGTATGTATAGTGGTAGGTACATTATCGGGTACAATTTTTATACTAAAATATTAAAAAGAATCTAACTCTAAAATTAAATATTCTAAAATTTAATCGTAAGGTGAAAATTCGAGAAAGATACGATCCAACAAGTTCAAAAGTATCATAGATTTTTTAGTTCAATGAGTTAATAATTAGTGTCTTATTCAATGAGTTACACTCAAGGGTCAAAAATACTGTATGTATAGATAAGTATTATAAACTCTCTCTATTTGTTTTGTGATCTTGAAGAGCAGTTAATCAATCACGAATAAATAAGACATTTAGGTATGAATGATGATGCTAAAGATCAACCACGAAGATTTCATCGGATCGAACTAAACATATACTATCCATTTAGTTTAGTTCTTACTTAACATCAGATTTATCACACGCATTAATTAGCTTTATTGAGTGTTATCTTCATCTTGCCATAATTAAGCTACCAAACACTAAGTTACTCCAATTAAGACCATGCATTGTCTTTTGGAAAAACTTCTCAAACATTCTATATTCATAATAAATTAGATTCTCACCTCTAAAGTTTTTAGTTTTGGTTTCTAAAATTTCACCGAGAATTCAAATGTTTCTTAAAAATATAAAAGAAAAAAACAAGCAAAGTTTTCAAAAGGCAAATGGTTATCCACCCAGATCTTAAAACTTCGATTTAAACTTTCGGGTGGGATAGATCTGTGTTCCTTTTTGTGAAAAGGAAGCCATTTATAGAACAAAAGGAGAGAAAAATGTTGGAGAAATTTAAGGTAATCCAGTTGTATTCAAGGTAGTGTAGAACAAGAAGGCCATAATAATAAATGAAGGGTTGGACAAAGTGATGCATGGGAGAGGGTCTTCCATGGTGAGGACCATCTTGGCTGGATGCTATGCTCTAGTAAAATGTAAATCCACCGACCTACAAACAAATCTTTCCTGTAATTTCTATATCAATTTTGGCCGAGTTTCCTTCCATTTCGCTGAGATTCATGATCTCACCTATAAGATCCGACATGAAAATGGTAGGTTTAAGCTAACTTAGCTAACTATGATAGAACTAAAAGTATGAGGACCAAAACAGAAAAACAATAGAATTTGTGGGGTATTTGGCTCAAGAGAAACAATAGAAACAACATAATTTCCATAATCCACCCTCTTCAGAACATCCACCGACATCAAAACTCTGATGCAAACAAACCTATCAGATAGCTTTTCTTTCTTTCTTTCTTTTTTTTTTTTTTTTTCCTTTTTGATAATAGCAAGAGCAAGAGCAAGAGCAAGAGTTGAAGATGGTACCGTAGGGTTTGCAGCAACAGACTGTACAGAAGAATTAGAAAACCTCTTCTCTTTGAAATTTAGCACCATACAGTATCTCCTACCAAGACTAGGGCTCAAGAGAACCACCACTAAGGAACAACATGAGAGCGGAATATGAGAGGATAGGTACAGCAAAATCCGCTGCTCCAACACTGCACAATTAGCGGAATCGAGCTTGAACATCGTAACAAATTTTTAAGTGAAAAAAGATGAAAGTAAAACAGTATTCTTACACTGTTCCTATGTTTCAATGTGTAACAACTCAAGTCCACCGCTAATGCTAACAGATATTGTCCTTTTTAGGCTTTACCCTTCCGGGGTTCCCCTCAAGGTTTTAAAATTGGAGAGGTTTCCACACCCTTATAAGGAATGTTTCGTTCCCCTCTCCAACCAATCTGGGATCTCATAATCCACCCCCCTTGGGGCAGAATCCTCGCTGACACACCGTTCGGTGACTGGCTCTGATACCATTTGTAACAACTCAAGTCCACCGCTAGCAGATATTGTCCGCTTTGGGCTTTTTCCCTAACGGGCTTCCCCTTAAGGTTTTAAAACACATCTGTGCTAAGGAGAGGTTTCCATACCCTTATAAGGAATGCTTCGTTCCCCTCTCCAACCAATATGAGATCTCACACAATCATATTAATACCCGCATTTATTAAAGCCAAGGGATTCTATTGAAACGTACCACTGAAAGCAAAGGTCCCTGCTTGAACTTGCCATGGAACGAAAATGCAGCTGGCTTTGGATTGTCTCCAGGCCCTCTAATAAAGCCACTGGACAGAAATTAAACAATTACATAGACAGGTCAGTTGAATTTCCAATTTACTTGAGTCGGAGTACAATGTCAATAACTCACATCAATGATGGACAAATCAGGGGAGTCCTTTTAATATCATATACTGCGATCAGGCCATTATATAATTCATCTCCATCCTTGAAAGAGACAGCCAGTCGCTCTCCTGAAGCATCCCATGCTATCTTCTCAATACCCTGACTGAAAGGATAATGCACAGCTGTCAAAATTTTATGGTTAACAATATTGGTCATGGGCGGTCTAACAAACGAAACATATATACCTGTTCGTCAAAGTAGTTATCTCCGGCAAGTCAACAGCTAGCAGATGTGCAACTGAAGACAAAAATCATTGAGAATGCATCAGATCTACAAACGAGTAAAAACTGAAGATCCACATTAATGGCTGGCGAACATTTTGCAGTTTAATAGAAAGTAAAACTAGATTCATCACATTAACCAGGCAACATAGGCAACATAGGCAATAAAAATATTGTCCCTGTAGAGACATTAGGTGAAGACGTTAAGTTAAATAAACATTACTCAATACCTTGCATAATGCACCTGAATCAAAACTGAGAAAAGAGTTTCAAGTGATGATATTATCACAAATCATTAAGACTTAATCTAATCATTAATTTATTATCGGCAAACTGCCATGAAACTTCCAGAAAACTTCCGTTCGTTCCCTTTTTTTCCACCAAACTCTCACTGTCTAAATATTATTTCTACAGATCTCATAAGGAAAACTTCCAGACACCTCAATTCTGGCAGTTGCAATATGCGAGACAATGTGCACAAGTTCACTGTAGAACATGACGGAGGCCCAGATGAAAACTCTATAGTAGCTTGTTGGTAGACCCAGCAATTGTAAAGACGATTCACATACCTAATGACGGAGGCTTAGATGCAAAATGAATTGAACCCAATACTGAAGACTCAGAGAAAGCAAGTAGTATCATACGTCCATCAGGATCCCATATTGCTCCCTGAAATCATGACATTGTTTAGTGGATACAAAGTAAAAAATTTAACTAGTTAAAGACTCTTACTAATTAAAGTGGTGGCTAGAAAAAGATTGCTAACAACTACAAATTTGAACTTGACTGACAAAAGTGAAAACTAAATAAAAGAATAATCTTCATGCAATGTCTAGATACTATGTCCGGACAATTGTCGACTACTTTACACTGATAACAAGAAGGGTTAAGAGAAGGGGCGAGCTACGATGTATTATCTCTCCTATACAAGGGGGGAAAAGAGGAGAAAAAAAACAATGAGATTTCTGATGCCATATCTGGCATAGTTAAAGCCTTATCCTTATCCAGCTATGGAATTCAATATTATTACTTTCTTCAACTACTATATGCGTACATGGATTAAGTGGAGTATGAGTTGCATTTCTTCTACATCCTTGTCTATTTTCCTTATGAGAAACCGAAGTACATAGGAAGTTTCTCCTCCATCTGCCCATCTATATTACATTATTTTAAGTAGATACTATGCATCTTTTTCCTAGACCAAAACAGAGGGGGCGAGCAAGAGAAAATGACAGAGACAAAGAGAGAAGGGGAAACATCCCTGGACAAGTTAAAATGAATAAAACATCATTCTTTTTTCTTTGTACCGTGACAAAACCACTTGTTGTCGACCACTGTTCAGATGTCCATGTGTTCGTTTCCCAAAGATAAAATGTTCCATCCCTGCAAAATGAATGGTCTTATGTATGCAGAAAAAAACATACCTGGCTGATTATTATGTAACAAAATTCACAAGACAGTTGGATAGTACTTACAATTTTGCTGCAAAAAAGTAATCTCCAGAAGGCGACCACTTGATTGTTGAAACACACCCTAATCCACGCCTAATGGGTGTTCCCAACCCTGGAACCATTCAAGAGTCAAAGAAGTTCTTAAAGAAACATAGGAGGGAGGGAGGGAGGAGAGAACTTCAAAATAATGAAAACAAATAAATTAATCAATTGGTAAATGAGATGAGAAACAAAATAAAATAATCAGGCAATTCAAGTACTGTTGATACATTACTAAAGAAGCATTTTTCATAGATATGCTACCTGGGACTATTATGTTTTTTTAACCCCTTTGAATAGAAAAGATTCAGAGATAAGGAGGGAATGAATCCCTAGCATTATTCTTCTTGAAAAATAGCGTCCACTCATCAAACATAATTAAGAAGATTAGCCTTTGACTTACCTTGAGCGACATCCCAAATGGTAAAAGAAGAGCTCTCATAA